TAGCTAAGAGGCGGATGATACACTCTCTATCCATTGACAAACTTGTGGATATATTAAGTTGGGCTAGGTCTTAAAGGTTCCAGCCAATTTTTATATGAACCATTGACTTGGGGAGCTGTGATTTTTTTAAGTAAATAAAAGAATTATTAAAAGAGAGAAAAAAAAAAGTTAGAAAGATATAAGAGACGTGGCCTTTACAAATGAGTCCGGATCTGCTCCAGAGCGCTTCTCAGCATGTTTTAGCTACACATTCAGAACATCTTTCATATTTATATCTTATTATTCATGGAAGATATTTCCAATAAATGATAGGATGTGGCTGTAAGATTGGTGTGAGGAACATTCTATGAAAAGCAAATCCCAATTCTTTAGAAACAAAAGCAAACAGGCCGGGAGCCATAGGATATCTAAGATGGTGTTTGGCAATGATGGTGTTATAGGAGAGCTGTTTTTTGAGATGCTCCACACCATAGCCGATCAAAAAATAGCTGCTTCATGCCACATCGATTTTTTTTCTTGGAAACATTGTTGCCATGTAAGCAAGAAGGAAAGCGGTTTTTTTTTTTTTTTCATTATTACTGTTGGGTTCACCCATTTTATTGTTGAAAATGCCCAACCACATTAGAACCAAAATACTGATTTAGTTGGTCATTTCATGTAATAACCTGTATACTGGATGAAGTGGATGCTCATCCAATGGCCTGTGATTAAGCTGCAAAGATCAAACAAAAAATCTCCTGGAAAAAGATTCATCATGCTCATTGAGGAGACGGGGGAGAAACCTAAAATTTGATGAAGTGATAACCGGAAAGCAGAAGGCAAAGTGGTTGAAAGACATGCAAGAAGAAATGAATTCCTTGCATGAGAGCCACACATATGTATGACCTTTTGTAAAAGTGTGGGGAAAGGGAGCACTTAAGACTAGTAGGTGTTCAGATGGATAATTGAGGACAAAATCTCACAATTAAGGTATAAGGTGAGATTGGTTATGAAAGGATTTTGGTAGAAGAAAAGGGTTTATTAATGAGATTTTGAAAAATTGAGGACAAAATCTCACAATCAAGGTATGAGGTAAGATTGGTTATGAAAGAATTTAGGTAGGAAGAAAGGGGTTTATTAGTGAGATTTTCTCCCCTATTGTGAAAATGACTTCAATTAGAGTTGTTTTGAGATTAGTTGTAAGGTTGGATGTCGAGGTGGAATAACTTGATGCCAAGACAACATTTTTATTTTTTATGGTGATTTCGAGGAAGAGATAAACAKGGAATAACCAAAAGTTTCAAAGCCAATGGAAGGGAATATTTGGTTTGTAGGCTGAGGAATGGTTTATATGGACTGAAACAAACTCCAATGGTACAAGAAGTTTGACTCATTCATGGAGAGTCACAGATAGTCTAAAACGCAATTGGACCACATTGCCTTCATTATTCTTCTACTCTCTGTCCATGACATGTTGATTGATGGGCAAGACACCAACAAGATTGATAGAGATGAGAGAATTAAGACCTGCAAATATTAGGCATGATGATCTCGTGTGACAGGAAAACAAGAAAATWGTGGTTACCATWAGAAAAATACATTGGAAATGTACTTGCAAGGTTCAACATAAACAATGCAAAACCTATTAGAACTCCAAGTAGTGCCCTACCATTAAGAAGGAAAAGGAAGAAACGAAGAAGACTCCTCATGCCTCCATAGTGGGTAGTTTAATGTATGCCATGGTCTATACACATGCAGTTGGAGTTGTTAGCAGATTTGTTGAGAAGTGGAAAGGAGCACTAGGCCATAGTGAAATGGATTTTCAAGTATCTATGGGGTACGTTTGAGCTTTGGAAAAGRCAAACCTATCACGAAAGGTTTTAGAAACACAAACATGCAAGCTGCATGGGCTTAGTATTCTAGACTGAGTACAGCCTTGATCCCCCACTATTTATCTTCAATAATCACAAGGTTATCCTGTATATGTTGATTTATGTTGATCACATATTATTAATTGAGAATTCTTATACTCCCATCATAGGGCTCTTATCTCAACTGTGTCTCAGGCTTTCTCTCTCAAGGATCTAGGTGATGTACATTATTTTTTTGGTATCGAAAATGCAAAGCCTCAAACCTTCCCCATAGTCGTCACTTGTAAACTCTCAAAATTCTCTAGTGATCTCTTGCCTGATCCCTCTGAATACAAAAGCTTTGCGGGCACTCTACAATATGTCACTATTATACGATTAAATCTTTCCTTTTCAGTCAACAAAGGTGTGTCAATTTCTACACGCTCCAACAACAGATCCTTGGGTTACTGTCAAGTAGATTCTTCGCTATCTCAAACACACCCTTGACCATGGATTATATTTTTATGCCTCTAATTCTCCTCCATCACTGGCATATTCCAACGCAGATCGATTGGGCTGGTAGTCTTGACAATCGGCACTCTTCTGAAGGCTTTGCTATCTACTTTGATCGTAACTTGGTCGCTTGGAACACCAAAAAAGAACCTACTATTGCATGGTCCAGTATAAAGTCTGTGTTTGACAACATTGGGGCAAATTACTCGACGGCTCACCCTATTTTTCATGCACGCACCCATCATGTAGAAGTGGGTTTTCACTTTCTTCGTGTTCAATACATTTCTTTGGAAGACTAGATTGCTGATGTGATGACCAAACCTCTAGTGGATTTCAGTTTATGCATCTTCGCACCAAGCTTCATGACCATACGTATTGGAGTTTAAGTAACCTTGGGAACTCTATCCATTGTAACATGTTTTAGTTAAACTATATCTATATCACCTTATCTCTAAGCTATTGTATCCTAATCGAATTCATCATCTCACTGTTGTAAGTTGAAGGACTCTCACTCTATATAATGCAAATGTCTAGACCAGCCTAAGCATTGAGATTTTCCCTTCATTTTGAGTCTTGCCTTTGCTAATTCTTTATCTGGTGTGGTGGGGGATATTGATGGGCAGTATAATAATGGTTGTGACATCGAGAGTTGGGAAAGGGGCAGCCAGTACAGAGAATATATAGTATTGGCAAGAGTTGAGACATGGCTACGGGTTGAACGGTTATATACAGGGAACAGGTATGMAGGGAAGTGTAGTGGGTATAGTCATGATATCAGAGTCTAAACATGCTCAAATGGGAGTTGTTATGTTAGAAGTTCAAAAGTTGATGATGAACAGTAATTTTGTGGATTGCTACAAGAACCCAGATTTCTTATACTCACTTTTTCTACCCACACTCTATTCGTTGTAAATTGTAGCCATACATCTCACAATTCAAGATGACTATGTGTGGCAATAATTCACAGCGGATAGAGTGTGGGTAGAGTAGTGGGCAGGAAATCCGGCCTGTTGCTACAAATGGATATTTTAGTTAATTTTTATCTCTATTCTAATGGAGTGTAATTACATTTATATGATAAACTTCAGGATAAGTGACTGTTATTAGCAAAAAGCAAAGAAATTATCAATATTGTTACAAACCTTAGGGGAGGTTTCAGCAACAGCAATTTACCTTAGTTTTTATAATTAAGATCAATATACAGATTTTCTTGGTAAATAGTCCGGTGTTTCCTTTTTTACTCAGAAAAGGGCGATTCATTAATACTATAAAGTAGTAACCTAAGGCTAAGTTTGGAAAGAGTATAAATATAAATATGTAGAGTGCAAAACCTTRTATTTTATATTATTTTGTATGTATTTGCACTGTACATATTTRTATTTATACTCCTTCCATACTGAACCTAAGGCYGAGTTTGRAAGGAGTRCAAATGCAAATATATACTGTGCAAATACATACAAAATATAAAGTTTTGYGCTCTACATATTTACATTTATACTCCTTCCAAACTGAGCCTAAGAAATAACCACTGGACAAAGATACGCAGTGGAGGCTAACAAGATCTGAACYGGCTAACAACAGTAATCAATYAAGACAGTTAAAAAYAAAAACTAAGAGACTGGATCTGCTCCTYACACCGGGCACTTCACATGYACATCCTATCATGCATTGGGAACATTTCCCGTACTTATTGGTTATTATTCATAGATGTTTCCAATGCATGGTGGATGTGCCTGTGAGGGGCCCATTTGTGAAGAGCAGATCCCATCACAAAAACGAAAGGGCCCTGATCCTCAAAGCCTTGCTTGACAAGACCATGAGCCAAAGTATTTAATTTCCCCTTTACATAAAAGAAAAAAAGACATCCACTTAGTCAAAGATATTTTTCAAAATGAAAAAAATAAAAAGAAAAAACATCTGGGCTGTAATTTARTGTCCCGTTTGGTTATAGGAATAGGGGTTTGGAATTGGAATCRGAACAGGTTATTTTGATTCCAACAGTTATTCTGATTTCAACTGTTTGATTGAGTGGGAATGGAATCTTATTCCCATTCCTACTAGAATGGTATTTCTAATTTGAAGAAATGTCTATTTTCTGCCCTTCCTCTGAGAATGAAATCTCATTTTTTTTTTTTTTATTTCAATTCCCATCCCATTCCAGTTGCAAAACAAACGAGCCCTAATATCTTATTTGCGGTAGATATTAAATTCTTCCTGAATCCACAGCCTAGCAAGCACTAAACCATTCCCAATAACAATAACCTCTGCTTGAATAGCCGAAAGAAATGGCTGGCCCATGATAAGCAGCGACACAATAACCATTCCAATCCCATATAACAGTGCTAAAATTGGCTTTATTTATAAGTTATTATTAGCGTTTCTTAGTATTAGTAATAATAATCTATTTATTAAAAAAAAMGTAAATAATCGGCTTTTCAGCAGTTCTAATTTATCGTGTACTTCCAACTGCAACACACGTTTCAACGTTTGAGCTGGGCTTYAGACAGTTACAACACACGTGTCAGTGCTTGGCATCGCCTAACCACCACTTATCAGTTTCCCTCCATGCAGATCTCAGTAAAAAAACAATTAGAAATAAACGCCCAGAAGTCCTCCACTCTCCTCTTCTTCTCCGTCTCAAGAACACTAGACAAACCTATGGATACCCATCCGATTAGACCATCCCGGCGTACCTTATTAACCACCATCCCTCATCCTAGGGCGAAAGAGGACGACCTCCTGATACTGAAACCAGCAGCCTGGTTCGTAAAGTTGGTAGCTTTCCAAGCAGAACTCATCTCTAACTGCTTAGAATATCTGTCATCGACCCTCTTCTCTTTCCTGTCAACGTCTCTTGAGTCYGTTCACCGTGCCGAAGAAGTAAGGGAAAGTGCCGGGGTGGCTGTGCCATCCCGCGTGGCCGACGGCAGCGGCATCTTCTTGCGGAAGCTCGGCTTTGGGCTTGTTGGTGCTATTTATGCCGTTCTGCTTCTGACTGCTGTCATGGTTTTGGCCATTATTGTTGGAGTTGGGTGGGTTCAGTGGTGGGTCGAGGAGCCTGTGTTCGTTCGAGAGCCTCTGCATTTCGATTACACTGATGTTCATCCCAGCGCAGTCTTCTCATTCAGCGGTGGTTTACAAGGGAATGTGAAAAGGGCGATTCCAGCTGGGCACACCTTCTATGTTTCGGTCGTGCTTCTGATGCCGGAATCCGATTTTAACCGGCAAATTGGCGTCTTTCAGGTACTGATCCGTTTATTTCTTTGCGTTTCAGARGAAAGAATCTAATCTGGATTGGTTTGACTGTTTTCTKATGGTTATTAATTCWTKATCTTTTTTCAAAAAAAAAAAAATCTTGTTCTCTTACTTAGTTCTCTTATATTATTACAATTGTTGGTGAATGGACGAGTGAATTGATTTATATGGTCGAAGTGCAGAAATCACAGCCATAGATCATCTGTTTAGAACTTGGAAATAGATGTTAATGTGCTAAGTGGTGATGGTTTCAATGGCTGGARTCCATTTTTGGAATTTTGAGGTTGAGGGGTTTCTGCATGTTCCCTCACCTTGGCTCTGTTTTCAGTACCTAGGCTGACTGGCAATGGACTTGACGGAGCTTCGGAATATTGGGGATCGGATCTGTCAAATCCAGATCCACATTGGAGATGGCCTCAAGTGACTAGGATCCCTGGAATATCATGCAATGGATCCATGATATATCCATTAATATGCATTCGGGCCAGATTAGTGGTTAGATCCCAAATTGACACGTATAAATGATGGGATCATACCGGGTCCAAATTGATCCAATCCTCGAATCCGGAGGGGTTGGTTAAGGTAACGTTTTTCAACCTGTCTTTTGACCTGGCTGGTCGGACCAGTGACCCATTTACAATTCAGTTGCGGTCGTATCACAAAACTCAATAACATAGTGAACGACCCATTAACCGAACCACTTATCCATTCAACATGTCATCGGTTTTCTGCACTATTTTAACTTTKGAAAATTTTTGTAATGATGAAATCACTGGTTGACCTGTTGGTCCATATGGATGAACMGCTGACATGTCGACCCATAGGAAAAGCAATTCAGCTCGGTTGGGTTTTAAAAAACTGGTTTTAGGGTGGAGATCTTGTGAGGATATCAACCTACAAATATCTTAATATATACATTCCATTTCATGCACTAGGTTGAGCAGAGTTGCAATGACCATGTTATAAACTACTAGATCCAGCTTGGCTTAAAGATAGGCCCGT